GGAGTAACTAGTAGATTCAAACCACCTACCTTTCAGTTAGCAGCCCAACACTTAATCCATGGCACCATCAGGGCTCCTTTCTATTATGTTGTTGCTATTGTTAGTGATATGGAGTCAGTTCCAACTCACAGCGACCCTGCATAGGGTTTCTGAAGAGCAACTAGTGGGTTTGAACAACTGACCTTGCAGTTAGCAGTCCAATGCTTATTCTACAGAGCCACATCAAGAGTCCTTCCATTACACACAACTCTCAATTATCCATGAATTGATTATCAATATTACTGGTCATTTGTAAGAAAGTCCTGAATTGCCATAAATCATCTACTCATCTTAACAAAATGGCCCAACTGTTCATCACTTAACTGTTTCCTATGAGAAGACAGAAGAGAAGGTCTCTTAAGCCAACATCTTCTGAAAGAGGACATAAAACTGTTGTTTCCAGCAGAAATACACAATATTTTATAATGATACTGGTCCCTTCTCAGTACTGACTGCTACTGCTGTCTACCATGGAGTGAATTCCGACTCACAGTGACCTGGAAAAGGTTTCTAAGGCTGTAAATCTTTAAGAGAGCAGACAGCCTCATCTTTCTCCTGAGGAGAGGTTGGTGGGTTTTAACTGCTGATCTTACCATTAGCAACGCAACGTACAACCCACTATGCTAATGTTACCATCACTCAAGGAAGAAAATTGCGGGAAGGAAGCACAGGGCTAGAGAGGTTGGCAAATACTGAGGAAGTGGCAGAGTTAGAATTTAATTTCAGGTTGCTCTGATTGCCAAATCCCGTGTTCTTTGTAGGCCAGCCCTTCTCCTACTTATCTACAAATCCAGTAACATTTCTTTCTTCTTCTTCTTTCTTTCTTTGTTTTTTTTTGTAAAAGTCTATAGTGTCTTCCCAGATCATTCATATTCAAATACACGTATAAAAACAAATTCTCAAGTTTGACAGATGGAGTTTGTCCAATTCCAAAAATGAAAATAACAACAAATTTTGTTACTCATTTTTTCACAATTATCCTGTCTCCAAAGAACATTTAAAATGCCAAGAATAAATTTTAACCAAAGTAACCCTGGAATTCATTGTAAACCTCAAAGATCCATAATTGAGAAATAAATCCATTCTACAATATATACCCTAACATAAACACATACAAAAGTTACACTGTTTTGAATTGTATCAACTGTTAGGTATTTCACTGCTAAAGCTATTCTGACTGTTTAAGGTCAATGTACTCACTATCTACATGTTTTTGCTTGGGAGAACTAAAAAAGCAAAACAAAATCCAACACCATTATTTCAACTCAAAACAACCCTATAGGGCAGAGTGAAACTTCCCCAGAGTGTTTCCAAGGTCATAAATCTTTACAGAAACAGATTGCTCCACCTTTCTCCTGTAGAACAGCTGGTGGGTTTGAACCGCTGACTTTTCACTTAGCAGCAAAGCAGTTAATCACTGCACCACCAGGACTCCTTCAGGGGGACTTAGACCTTCTATTATGGTGGTGGAATCAGCCAAGAAAGGATAATCATAATGGTCACACAACAGGAAAAATATATCAATGTCACTTAATTTTACATGTAAAATACATTGATATGGAAAATGTTTTGCTATGTATATTTTTACCAAAAGGAAAATACACATACAAAAATACATGTTCTTATTTGCTGATCTGAGCCAATGTTCCTGTGGTTCCTATGAGTTCTTCAGAACGTGAACAAAGAATGAAACCTAGGCCCACATTCTCTGAGTAAAAACATGTTTCTTGGGACAGCTTTGATATACTCCAGTTTCATTTACCCCTGTAGCCTCACTGAGAGTATACTTTCACTTACTCATATAGCTTGATAGTTGGAAGGATTAAGTGGGGTTGAAAAAGGAGAAATCTTAATGTTTAAGGTAATACTTAAACTTCTACTTATTGCCACTGGCATTTTCACACACAAATTATAAATATCCCTATATTACAAACAAACTATCTAAGCAATTGACTCGAAGGCACTTAACAACTTCAACATTCATATGTTGTTGTTGTTAAGTGCCGTCGAGTTGGCTCCAACCCAGTGACCCTGTATAGGATTTCCGAGGAGTGGCTGCTGAGTTTGAACCACCAACCTTGAGGTTCAAACCAACCTTGTAGTTGAGTGCTTATCCTACAGTGCCACATCATGACTCCTTTCCTATCTATCTAAAGAGCTAAAGTTTTAAAGAATGCCTAGGAGGAAGCAATAATTTTCAAAAAACTAACTGTTGGTGACTCACACTGCTATATGCAAGTTATCTAGTATAGTATACGTGAAAGAGTAAATTCTAGGTTTCCAGCTTTTACATGCTTATTTATATGATGGGTTGATTTAAAATGAAATAGCAATACTGCTACTACCATCTCCATTTACTTATGTGCCATATATAGTACTAAGGAGCTCTGGTAGATTAGCAGTGACGAACTGGGCTGCTAACCTCAAGGTCGGCAGTTCGAAACTACCAACTGTTCCATGGGAGAAAGATGAGGCTTTCTGCTCCCATGAAGATTTGCAGCCTCGGAAACCCTGTGCAGGGTCACTATGAATCGGAACCGACTCCACGGTACTTAACAACAAATATATAGTACTAAGCATTTTTCATGTTATCTCATTTAATTTTCATGTAAATAAACAACTGCTTAGATTCACACAGTTAAAAGAGGATTTGAACTCATGTCTAACTGCATAAACAATATTGCTGATTATTTTCTAAGTTTTTATAAGATAGCTAACTTATATTTTCTGCTCCTCATTTATTAGCTCCTAAACCTATAAAAACTGATATAAAGACCTGTAGTTCTCTATTTGATGAAATCTGTGTAGCTAGTACTTGAGTTTTTCCCTCAAACCAAGCTTGTTTGAGGGATTTCTCCCCAAAAGTCAGGTAGATGCTAAGGAAAGGCAGGAAGTGCTGCTATACTCAATCTCATGAGCTTTATTCAAATTCAAAATGGTCTTTGAAACAACTCTACTGTCTTTCCAAAAGTTAGATGTTAATGAAGGCAGTAGGACCTGGCTTGATTTACTGAGAGCTCGGCTGCCAAGTTACTAAGTACATGATGGATAAATGATTAATTGCTATCAGGAAAGATCTGGCAATAAACATTTAAAAATGTGAACTATATCAGCAGGATAAGTAACTTTGACTCTTGCCAGCTGTGTGATCTTGATCTTGAATAAGTCTCTCAGGCTCAGATTCTCATCCACAGGACGAAGATGACAAAACCTGTGAAACCTATGTCATAGATGTGTTATGAGCATAAACTAATACATGTAGTACTGCCAACCGCTACTGAAAAATATAAAATGACTTTAAAATGAAAAGAATTTTAAAAACAGAAAAAAAGGTTGGATTTCTGTGTCTTATTAACTTAAAAGTTTTCCAGTTAGGAACAGCAGAATTTCCATTCAACGTCATTATATTTTACAGTAGCCAAGTGGGCTGAAGAAACAGGACAAAGTAGAAAAATATGAGAGCTGCCATCACTGTTGTTAGCAACACTCATTTTTCTGGATAAGTTTGAAACTTAAAAAAACATTGCAAAATTATTGGTAGGTCAATAAAAGTGATTTACATACCTGTTGTAGGTTAAAACATCATATTTCATATGGGGAAAAAATTACTGTTGTTGCTAAGTGCCATCAAGTCAGTTCTGACTCACTGAAACCCTAACTGAGTTTCCAAAGAGTAACTGGTAGGTTTGAACGCCAACTTTGTGTTTAGCAGTCCAGTGCTACTGGGCATTATTCTGTAGCCAACCTCAAACAAAGAGGATTGCTTCAAGAGAGCAGGGAAAAAAGTCTCTGAGGATCTCTATGCATGTCACCATGATTATCTAAATACATTGAAAGAAAGTTTCCAAACCCATCAGTCGAGCACCATATTCCAAAGAACTATGAACTGAAGAGCACAGCCACAAAAGCAGAGGTCACACCCTGGGTCCAAAAGGTTGAGGTTCTAGTTTCCACAAAACTGTAGGTCATATATCAGTTACTCAAACTGGATTATATGCAAGCCTGGTCTATTTACATGGCAAAATATATGTGTAATATAGAATTATTTTCTGTCGGCCTACCAGGCTTCCAGATCAGCCTAGATACTCAGCAAGTTGTCCTAGTCTTATTAAAACAGAAAATGGAAAGATTAAGAGATGCTACAAAAAGTACTTTAGACAGCCATGTTGTTGTTAAGTGCCATTGAGTTCTAACTCTTAGTGACCCTGTGTAGGGTTTCTGAGGAGTGGCTGGTAGATTTGAACCACTGACTTTGTGGTTAGCAGTCAAGTGCTTATCCTACAGTACCACACCAGGGCTCCAAAAGCTTACAAAAATGGCTCATCAAAAAGAAAACCTAGTCAGGAGTACTTTGCTAGTCTCTTAAAATAGCCATAGTTTTCCATGCTCTTAGAAAATAGGATACCATCTTTTTTTAGGTATCTAGTTTAGTTAAGGAGATGTGGTAGTGTAGTGGTTACAAATCGGGCTGCGAGCCACAAGGTCAGCAGTTCGAAACTACCAGCGGTTCCGCGGGAGAAAGATGAGGCGGTCTGCTCCCGTAAAGATTTACAGCCTTGGAAACCCTGTGTAGGGTCGCTATGAGTCGGAATCAACTAAACAACAATATTTAGTTACAAAATATGATATAGTCAACTTGGTGATTATAAAAATAATCAGTTTAAGCTTATATTTTTAAAACAAAACTGTTGGATATTAGTATGGTGAACAGAACTTGAAGCCTGTGATTAGGTTCCTCTTAGTGCATACATTTTTAACATTTTCCGATGTAGGGGGTGCTTGATTACAAGTTTACAGGTTTTAGAATGACAATTAGAAGCTGTAACCTTATTACAAACATATTTCCAGTAAAGTTTTGGGTAATTTACATCCAAAAATACAGAGATAATTGCTGGCTTTGTTTACCTGTATTTTTCAATAGGACTTGGCTCAGATAGTGCCGAAAATGAGAAACTGCTTACTTTTTCATGCTTGTGCTTCTCCTTTTCTTTTTCTCTCTTCTCTCTCTCTCTTTTCTCTTTTTCCCTTTCCTTCTCTTTCTTCTCCTTTTCCTTCTCTCTCTCTTTCTTTTTCTTCTTCTCCTTTTTATCTTTTTTCTTGTCTTTCTCCTTAGGTTTCTCTTTTTCTTCAAACAATTTTTCAGGAAGCATTGGCGACAAAGAAGGTAACATTGGTGGGATCTTCACGGATCCAGCAGCACTGAACATGGAAAACGCCAATTCTTTTGGAGGCAACACTAAAGGAGTTGGAGCTTTCATCTTATCTTCTCTACCTTTATCTTTAGCTTTTTCCTTTTCTCGCTTATCTTTCTCCTTTTTGCCTTTTTCTCTGTCCTTCTTCTTATCTTTATGCTTCTCTTTGTCTTTTCTCACAAGTCCATCTTTCAATCTCACTTTTGGATCCACATCTTCAAATTCTTTTATCTTAAGCGTGTAGGGGTCTGAATCCTCATCTTTAAGAAATTCCTTCCATGGATACTTCGTTTCCTTGTTGATTTCCTTTTCTTTGTCTTTTATTTTATCCTTGTCTTTACTTTTTTCCTTGCTTTTGTCTTTTTCCCTCTCCTTGTCTCTCTGCTTTTCTTTCTTCTTCATTTTAGTTTTCAGTTCTTTCTTCAACTTCTTTACTTCTAATGATGAAGGCAGTTTGGTTTTCTCCTCATATATCTTGTGAAGAGGTTCAGGGGTAGGAGGAGAAACTGAAGGAGAAGAGAAATAAGGAAAGTCGGGAGGCATATTTGAGGGTGCTCCCATTTTTGCTTTCCGTACAACCTCATCAATTGAGGCATCCATTGTCCATGAATTATCTGAACTTGGAGTTCCACCTGAAAGAGGAAGCGGAGTGGATCCTGATTTAGTGAAATTGTTTGACGAAACAGACGCTTTTGGGGTAGTACACTCTGAACCTGACATTCTCCTAGGGCTTGTAAAAATGTCCCCTTCGGATTCTGATCCAGAAGAAAATTCAAAAGGATCTGGCTCTCGTTCAGCACAAGCTCGGGCAATCACAGCATCAATAGAGTCATCAATTGTTTTATCTGCAACAATAGCCTTTTTCGGCTGATTTTCATTGTTCAGTTTCCCAGCATCAGGCGGTGTTTGTGTTTGTTTTACCTGAATAGTCTCTTTATTAATTTTTTCACACATTGTAGCTGAAGGAGTCCTATTTGGTGTCTCAGGTCTGATAGATGCTTGGGAAATATGAGTCACAACCTTGGGACTCTTGGGGCTTTTGGGACTCTTAGAACGTCCAGGTGATTTCTTTTCTTTGGATACAGTTTTAGGTGACCGAATAGGACTTCCGACCATTGCTGGTGACTGAGTAGTTTTAGGTGATTTAGTCTTCTGTCCTGGAGAACTAGTTTTAGTCTTTGTTTTAGGTGCAAATGACTTTGGCTCTAATGGTTTTGCGGCTGGCAACTGTGATTTTGTAACTGGAGCCAACATGGGTGGTTCTGGGGATGGAGGTGCTAGGTCTGTATTGTCCTGTTCATGAACTGGAGAAAGCATGGGTGGAATCTTTTGAGTATTTATTGAGCTGAGTGGCTCTCGAGGCTCCAGTAATACTACGTCTAGGGTGTCCCCTTTAGTGCTTAAAAGTCGTGGTCGCTTCGTGGCAGGCATTTCTTCAGCTTCAGGACTATCCAATGGTCTTTTACCCAAGAAATTTTCATCATCTTCTTCCAAGGGAACTTGCATGGCTTCTGCTGATGTGCCCCCATCAGTTGGCACCTGTTCTTCTTCTTCCTCTGTTAATGGAGGGAAAAAAAAAAAAAAAGAATTACTGGAATGGAATAAAACCTAACAAATAAAAACAATGTTTCAGACAGGATTCCTAACAAAGAAAGGAGACTGCTGATAGTGTTTAAAGAATGAAGCTGTACATTTTCTAGAGCCTTCCAAAATTGCATGCCATCTAATCTTAAAGAGGAGAAATCAGTGACATCAGATGTACAAACTAATTATTTGCTTCTCAAATGTTTTGATCCTACATTCAGGATTTTGTTTGCTAAGTATTTCTAATTTGTCTTTCTTTCTCCTGCTTCCTTACCTAACCTAAGTAAACACTTTGTTTTTCTCTATCCCCTGCTCTCCTTCCCACCACATTCATACAGACACACACCCAACTCTAAACAACAGGAGATGGGTTGTTATAATGACTGCGGCTGTTGTTAAGTGCCACTGAGTTAGTTCCCTGCATAGGATTTCCAAGGTTATAAACCTTTGAAGAAGCAGAAAGTCACATCTTTCTCCTGTGAAGCAGCTAGTGGGCTTAAACCACTGACCTTGTGGTTAACAATTCAGTGGTTACCCTACAGAGCCACATAGTTTCCGATATAGGTTCAGGCATTAGAAAAATGGTGTTTTAGTCTGGGTTCTGGTACTCTGGAAAGATAGGACCTAGGCAATCTTTTAGTTAACTATCTTTGAGACTGTTTCCTGACTTTTAAAAGGGACTTATGTTACTTGCCCTGCCTACATGACTGTGTGGTTGTAAAATCAGATTACTTAAGTCTATACATATTAACTAAGCATATAACATGTAGAATGCACAATGATAGAGGATGAAACAGTTACTGGAATGAATCAGAAATTCATCATGTCTTTAAAAAGCTTACAGCTTTTTGTTACTGTTAAGTGCAGTTGAGTCAATTCTGACTCATAACAACCCTGCATAGGATTTCTGAGGAACAGCTGGTGGGTTTGAACTGCTGACTTTTGGTTAACAGCTCAAACAGTTAACAATGTTTGGTTAATGGTGCTTAACCTACAGCACCATACCAGGCAATAATGGTCTGAACTAAATTGTTGTTGTTGTTGTGTGCTATGGAGTCAGTTCCGACTCATAGCGACCCTGTATAGGGTTTCCCAGGCTGTAAATCTTTACGGGAGCAGAAAGCCTCATCTTTCTCCCGTGGATCAGCTGGTAGTTTCGAACCGCTGACCTTGCAGTTCACAGCCCGATTCGTAACCACTACGCTACCAGAGCTCCTTATTAGTGGTAATAAATAAGAAGCAATCATTGGAAATGATACTTAGACAACAGAATGGGTAAACCTGTTAAACAACTGAGTTTTTAAGAATAGAGGAAGAAACCCTTAAACAAACAATAAATAAGGGGGAATCTGATGCAGACTGTGCAGACCCGGTCAGGAGG